TGCTGAATTAGTTAAGGTAGGCTAAATTGCTATAGCACATAGGCCAAAACTTGTATAATGCCTCAAACACAATAGAGGTTTATTTCTGGATCAGGTAACATCCCAAAGAGGGTGTTTCTTTTTGGCAGGTGGCCCTCCTCCATGTGGTGACTCAGGGACCTGGCTTCTTGGGATCCTGCTATCCCCAGGGCCACATTGTCTTTGGCATCTAGCTGGTGGAAGGGTAGAGAGGTCATAGAGGAGACAGGCTTGCTATTTTATAAATCCTGGAGTAAATGTAGCACGTACCACTCCTGCCCACCTTCCATGGGACAGAATCTAGTCAATGGCCATGCATACTGCAGGGATGCTGGGAAATACACTCCAGCTACATTTGTGGCTGTTCCTCATGTTGCTACAGGACTGTACTGTCCAGAGGAATTTTCTGTGATTTTGGAAATGTTCTAAATCTGTGCTTCCAGAATGGCAGTCACTAGCCACATGGTATTGATCACTTGAAGTATGGCTAGTGAAACTGAAAGCTGAACTTTTAATTTTATTCACTTGTAATTAATTTAAACTTTAAAAGCCATACATGGCTGGTGGCTACAGTATTGGCAGCTATAAAGAGAGGAGAGGGTGGATTTTGGTGGACAGGTAGTGGTCTCTGCCACAGCTGTTCAATGACTGTGTGATCAGCAAGGTCATTTATCATCTCTGTCTCCACTTTCCTCAACTGTAAATTGGGTGTAATAGAGATATCTACCTCTTAAGGCTGTTGTGAGGATTCAGAGGTCATTCAGGCAGAGTACTTAGTGCCCCCCTCATAATCAGTCCTCAATCAAGATTATCTTGTTGGTGACCTGGGACAGGAACTCCAGTTAGGAGAGTGTATAACAGTCTGGGGGAGACACAGCTCTAGTCTCACCTGCAAATGTTGTCCTTTGTTCAGCCAAGCTATATCACTTCTTCTCCAAACTCTATGGCATGCATCTCCTCTCAACCGTGCTCTCTGATCCATCCATCTTTTTCTTCTCTACCTATAGGAATCCTGCCCTGCTGTCAAGGCCTGGTTCACATACCATGTCTCCATGAAGCACTCCTGACCTTCCCAGTTATGTGGGATCTGCACAGTCCCTGGAGGCCCTGGCACTTTGCATGTTCTCCAGAACATACCACATCAGCTGAGGCCACTTCTGTAGCTGACTTGTGCATTTGTCTAGACAGGAATGTTTCTTGCCCATCTCTCTATGTCCCACTTTAACCAGCAGAAGTCTGTGGTATTTGGGGCAGGCAACAAATGCCCAATGCACTGAATTGAATTCATTAGGAGCAGAAAGAGTTGCAAAGACACATTCCCTGGACAGTTAGAGCCAGATATTACATCCACACTGCACCAAATGAAGCCAGGCTTTGTAATTACCCAGGTCATTGAATACATGCGGACATCCAGATGGGAAAATTCAGGCCACCTCACTGGCATGTAGTTTGCAGAATTGGTTTTGACATTTGTACAATTTTTTTTCTCCCACATTTCTCTACAAAAATTGCCTTTTAGCTCACGTGCCTTTTACCATGTGTCTTTTCCCACTATCTGTTATGCCATTCCTGGCAAAATTCCTGTCCAGAAACAGCCAAAGAGGGCTGGAAGCACTCAGTCTGGCTGCCTGGGACATGAGTCCAGTGAACTGTATAAGGGTTCAGTGATAGCCAAGCCACGTGGGACCTGACCCGTGGTCTCTGTGGGCTTGGCCAAGCCTAAAAGCACCACTCTGGACTATCTTGTACCTTTTTTTGACATCAGCTCAAAATCTTGGATATTCTCTCAAATACCATAGATTCTCTTAAGAGTTAAATAATGTTTTTCATTAATCAATTTACTTAGACCTTTGCATTTATTCACTCAACAAGTATTTGTAGAGCTTACTGCTCTGTGCCAGTACCTTTTTGGTGTTTAGAATATGAAACAGACAAAGTTCTTGTTTTCAAGGAACTCTCATTCTAGTTAGGTGGGAAGAAAGTAAACAAATACATGTCAGATGTCAATATGTTCTATGAGAGAAAAGAAAGCAGGGTATCTCATCTATTGCTACATAACCAATCACACCAGAACTAAGTGGTTTAAAGCAACAGTTTGTGATTTCTGATGAATCTGTGGATTGGCTGGGCTCCTCTGGGGAGCATTTCTGTTGGAGCCTTCCACTGGGCTCATGGAGAAGCTAGCTGGAGGCTCAAGTACAGCTAGAGGGTCTTGGATGCCTCACTCAGGCTGCTGGGCCTTCATGTGGGCTGTTGCTTGGCCCTCCCCACACGGCTCTCATTGTTCAGGAAGCTAGCCTGGACTTCCTCACACGAACATGTCAAGAGAAGGCAGAGGCTATGGGGCCTCTTACAACTAAGAACCAAGTCACACCATGTCGCCTCTGCCTCATTCTTTGGTCTGTATCACAAGGCCAGCCCCATCTCAGGAGTGGGGAGGTAGAGGCCGTCTCTTTGATAGCAGAAGCTACAGAGGAATTGAGGCCACTTTTTTCTCCAGCTTAGTTGAGATATAATTGATCTACCATGTGAATTTAAGGTATGTAACCTATTGATTCAATATACTTCTATATTGCAAAATGATTGGATTTATGGCCACTTTACATTACCACACAGGGTAAGGGAATGGGGAATGGCAGGCTGTGGCTAAACAGAGTGGTCAGAAAGGACCTCTGATGTGGTGTTCTTTGGGGAGGGACCTAAAGGAAGGCAGGGAGTGCGCCATGCAAACTGTCTGCAGCCTTCCAGGCAGATGGAACTGTCGGCAAAAGCTCGGAGGCCAGACCAGTGCAATTTTTTTGCATTGAAGATACTAATGCAGCATTAAGGGTTTTGAGTGAAGATGCTCTTATGTTTTGTCAAATTGAGCTCCCCTTGGGTGACAGTAGAGAATTCCTGAATGGGCTGAGCCAAGATAAAAGGGGCGCACTTGATTTGGAGACACTGAGATGTGAGGGTGAATCCTTCATGCAATCTCAGACCAAAAGAGGCCCATCTCCTCATCACTACTGCCTCCATCCTCAGCTCTCCCAACCCGATTTCTTAGGTGTCTTCCATGTCCGTGGCAGAACTCCAGGAATTTGAAAATTCCTTGCTTCCAACGCTAGTACCTCTGGTTTCAAAGGAAGTACCCTGCACACATTCTGTCCTCAGCCTGCCCACATTGTTCCCCTCACACAACCTGTGGGAGCTTCTCTGAGCCAATCAAGGTTTGAAGTGTTGAAGGGAGAGGTGTCAATTCACTAGAGAGCAGAGCAGAGCAAAGTTGGGGGGGTTATGCTGTCATTACCCAAGGTCACTAGGGAGTCTGAGTATAATGGGGTAATTAGCATGTGTTTGGTGTGGGGGGGTGCAATTATCTGGCTCACTGCTGCCAGGCAGGTTTGTCACTGCTCTTCTGGCCCTTGGGCTAGGTTACGGCTCTACCTGTGGACTATTAAGTGTAGTGATCCTTTCACCTAGAGGAGCCTGTCATTATCTCTGTGTTAACATGGCATTACCCACACAACCTGCCAAGTGACTCTGTAATTAAAGGGACTCCCCATTGGACAGTCATCTCATGAAAGTTGTCAGGGCAGGGGTGGCTTTGAAAGGCAGAGAAGATGGGCTGTGGTCATCCTGGGGGGGCTGAAAGGGACACTGTAACTAAGGCCTCCCCACTGCCTATTGCCAAGGTTGGGGACTGCGGACTCCACCCACAGGAATCTATAGGCACCAAGACACCCCCACCCTGAAGTCAGGCATACGTCCACATGGGGCTAACTCACCGGCTAGGGCTCCAAACAAAAGCCAATTTTAAAATCTTGAAAGTTGTTACTCTTCTGAAGTCTCTTGCAGCAGTGGCAGGGCGGGAATCCCAGTGCATGACACAGTGCAGAACCTCCTGGGAGTCCTACATGGCTCCTGCGCTCTCTGTCCCAGTCACTTTGTACTGTCTTCCTCAGAACACCAGGACCCCTCACCCCTCTTGATGGGACTCCCATGCCTTTGGGGCCCCTTTTTGTTTGTCACGGGAAGTTATAAATCTTTTCTAATGAAAACCAAATTTGTTCTTGGCCTCTTCCATTTCTCCTCCGCCCCTTTACCCTGCTGTCATCGCCACAAGGCTAGGGTTGCGGAGGACCCCTTAAGCTGGTGGAAGGGGCAAAGCCATAATAGCTGTGGATCCGTACTTTCCCCCGTTGCCTAAACAAGCTCTGGTGAGCTTCCCTATACAAATATCTCTTAGACTTTTCTGTAGGACAAATTGCTGAACTTGGAGTGATGATGTATAGTCTTTTAATTTAAAATGATGTTGTCAAATTGCCTAAAAGGTTGTACACAATTAAATTCCCACGAAGAGTTTATTAGAATGCTTATTTGTCCACCTCCTTGCCAACTTGGGTTGCTACCATTTTTTAAAATTACCACCGTTGTTTTCCAATTATACATATGATGTATGTTCATTGTAAAAAAAAATTGGAAAATGCAGGAAAGGGTAACAGAAAATAAAGATGAGCTGTCATGCCACCACCCAAAGAGAAGAATCACCCATTGTCATAGAAGGTGACAGCAGAGACCACAGAGAGCCTAGGTAGACACCTGAGGGAAACTTCCAGCATCCTCAGTGCTGGTGACAAGGTGTTCAAGATTGCCCCATTCTCCTGTCTGCCGCCTCCCCAGCCACTGTTGTCCCCAAAGCTTGAGATATTTTCCTCAGCCAGTGGAGGCCTTTCTGAAGGAGTCAGTTCCAGGTGTCCACAACCCTAAAGTGTCCCTTTGAAATTCTGCTGTTGTCAGGAAAGCTCCAAGCCCCAGGCTTTGTGGAGTAGGGATGGGGTATGAACATTCCAAAAGTATGTTTCCAGGCATTGGCAGTTGGAGCCGACAGACTGGAAAACCCATCCTTGTGGCCAACCCCAGGGCCAAGTTTCCATTTCTCAGGGACCCTGACGTGCCCTGGTGAGCCGCCCCTCTAATGACCGCTCTGCCTTCCATTCCAGAGACCTGAATTATAACGAGCTGCAGGAGTTCCCTGTTGCCATCCGGACCCTGGGCAGGCTGCAGGAACTGTAAGCTCCTCTCTTGGTTTCCGTGGGTGTCCTCTTCCACCACGGGCAGGGCCTGAGCCAGCCTGGGCCTCCTTCACATCCTCATCCCCTGTGGTCCTGGTAAAAGCTAGCTGCATGCCCTCCCCTGCCCCACTGCGGGTCTAAATGGTCACAGGCCTCATTAGCTTGGCTTCAAGCCTTTCCGAGTTGTGTGTCAGCAGCAGAAACAGCCCTGGGCCCTTCCAGCCGGGGAAGACACATGGCCTAGGCCGCCTCCTGTTAGGCTGGGCCTGGCGCTGCCCCTGGCCTGGTTGGGGTGTGTCTGGAGATGAATGGGGAGAGGACCAGGGGGCTGGTGCATGGGGTCACTCCTCAGCACCTTGTCCTCATGGGAAAGATGAGAAGCTGGCTCATGTCCCCACAGACACCACTTATCATTATTCTACTTTAGCATTCACCAAGCACCCACTGTGCCAAGCACTGTGCTTGCTTAAACACATACAATGAGTAAGATAGCCATGGGCCATCCCCAAGGATCCTTCAGGTCCTCCAAGGACACAGAGAAACATATTTAAACAGGAAACAGGACAAAGCAGCTTAGGGTCTGTATATAATTCTCACCCTAAAGTGTACAGTATTAGCTAAAACGATCATGGAAGTCTAGAAAGAACTCTGTGGACTGATACATCCTGACATCAGCCTTGAAGGATGGATGGGATTTAGGTGGCAGTGAGGTGGGAGGAGAGGCATTTCAGACAGAGGAGCAGTGTAAATAAGGACCCAGAGAGGGAGTCGAACGGGCAAAGTGGGGTCTCCAGGAGGGAGCCCAGCATGGTCTGAGGGAGAGGCCCTTGGGAAGCATAGGGCGCACACTGAACGGGAGAATGGGACTAGAGTAAGCAGACCTGGAGTTTACAGAGCCCCAAACTTTCATATAGCACCCCATATTTACTCCACTACTACCTCAGTCCTGCAGTATAACCCTGTGCCGCCTGCTCCACCATCCAGAAGTCCGGAGGTGTGAGGCCCAGATGCTCATAGCAGAGCAGGACCAGCTGGAGGGGAGGGTCTGAATGGGAAACGACTGGACTGCCAATGAGGGCCGAGGGCTGACTTTTCCTCTGAGCTGGGGCCTGAGAGAAGGATGAGATTGATCCATTGGAAGGGCGTGGAGGGACCCGGATGTGCAAAATCATGGAGACAGGGAATAACACAGCACTGGGGGAGTGCACAGAGGCCCAAGTTAGCAGAAGCAAGAAGATACATGTATGGGTCTGTCTGTCTGTCTCTCTACAGTGATTGAGGGAGAGCTGCTTCAGGACAGGGCCTTTTATAAATTTCTAAATCCTTCAGAGCTTAGCTCAGCACTGGACACGAAGGAGGTGTTCAAAGCATAGCGGAGCCAACTAACAAAGGCATGAGTGAATGAACAAACCGGCCTAGGTGGGTAGCCCTGGCTGTGGACCTGTGATGGCCTTAAGGTGGGAGTGACAAGGGGCTAGAGAGAAGAAGAGAGAGGTCACAGGGGCAAGAAGACACCAAGAGAAACCAGAAATCTCCAGGGACGAAGAAAGTACCTAGAAGCGGCCTGCTCAGCATGGATTATGTACTTTTCAGTCCAATTTGTTTTGATATGTTCTCCCCATCTAACCAAACTCCAGGCTTCCAGAGCCAAGAGCCTCAACCGGGTAGCTCATTCCTCATGTGCCCACAGGGCCGCCTACGTCCCTCACCGCCTGGCTCTGCACCTCACCCCTGCACTGCTCTGGCACTTGGGCATCCTCGGGGCCAAGCCAGCCTCCATTTGGGGCACATCGCCCTTCTCCTGGACCCCTGGAAGCTCTGTTGTTTCCACGTCTTCCCCCTCCTCCTCCCACACACCCAGGGTCTCTGCCTGAGCACCCTTCAGGGCTCCCACCACAAGTGACGAAGGGGAGGACGCCCCGCTTGGGACCTGCTCGGCCTCTTCGCGCTCCTGGGTGGCTCTCACAGGCCCCCTGAGGCTCCGCCCCTCACTCCTTTTGTGAATTAGGGAAAGGCTGGGTGGGCTACTGAACAGAGAAGAAAATCGTGCTCAGGATTTGGACCTGGCATCTCCAGGCTGGTGTGTCTTTGGTCTGTGGCCTTGCCAGCTATCAGAAAGTGCCACGCAACTCTGTGTGTTTCCCTCCCCAAACCTCACTGCCCCCTCCTGTTCCCTTCCAGGGGCTTCCATAACAACAACATCAAGGCCATCCCGGAGAAGGCTTTCATGGGCAACCCTCTGCTGCAGACCATGTGAGTACTGACCTCCCCAGACCCTCGGTGCCCAGCAGTGTCTGGGGGAGGAGGAAAGGGCAGGGGGCAGGCCTGTGGAGGTCCCCGCAGTAGGAGAAAGCAGAGACCTGAGACCTGCCTTGGCCCCCACTGAAAGGGCCGAATAACTGGGTTTGGTGTTTGGGTCTTTTTCTTCCAGACACTTCTATGATAACCCGATCCAGTCTGTGGGAAGGTCAGCGTTTCAGTCCCTGCCCAAGCTGCACACGCTGTGAGTTGCCCCTTGGCGGCTCCCAGCCTGGCCGCTCGCTTCCCGTGCTGCTGCCCACAGCCTCCTGCCTCCCGTCTGCACACCCTGCCTGCAAGGCGTTGGAAGGCATGGGCTTCAGGGCCACAAGCCTCCACCAGCTCAGGCCTGTTCCAGATCTGTGGGGACTCAGCGGCTCCCTCCACCTCCCTGTGGCTTCTTCCCGGAGCCCAGAGGGTGGACACGGTCTTCTCTGCAGCCAAGGAGCTGCAGCTGGCCTCTTCAGAGCCCTGCTCGGGGTGGCTGTTCCATAAATTCCTGCCGACAGGGAGAAGGACTAGGCCGAGGTTCTGGCTCTCCGGAGGCCTTGAAACTGGACCCTTCAGCCCTTTGTATGGCCAGAAGGCACTCCTTCCTTTCCTCTCTCCGAGTCTTTTAATTCCCAGTCCAAGGCCCACTGCTTCAAAAAAGCCTCCACAACTTGTTCTCCGCATCCAGCATTGCAGTAACATAGCCAACATGTGGGAAGCCCTTCACCTTCCTGTTCGTCTTCACCCTGACCCTATGGGGCAGGTGTTAGCTGTACGCTTCCCAGATGGAACCTGAGGCTCTCAGGACCTGCTCGGGCCTGAACCCAGATCCGCCGGCCCCAGATCCCGGGTTCCTTTCTAGAGCCCACGCTGCCTCCTGGGAGCCCGAGAGGCCCCTTTCTGCCCCTGTGTGCGCAGGGCTGGGTGGGGCCGTGTCCTCCTGGAGAGGGGGCCAGATGGGAAGGCAAAAGCCAGCAGTCAACGGCAGTTTAAGAGAGTGGGGAGGTTCTGATCAAGCCCTAGCAGGTGACAGTTTAGGGGAGAGCTTATCCCAGGCCCCAATAAGCAAGCCCCAGCCGCCAAGGACTTTTCCAGAAGCACCCAAACTGTTGACCTCTAAGCAGAGGTGGTTCGTAAGCTCCTTGCCAAATTGTTTTGCACACAGGGCCTGAATGCCCAGGTGGCTGGCTCTGTCTGGGTGGGCTGCGCCAACTGAAGAAACGGCTCGGACCCTGCCAGGCAAACTCGGCCTCCCCCAGGGCCCGAGTTCTGGGGCGACTTCAGGGGTGCAGTGTCTGAGGGGGAGGAGGCCGGTGTTGAGACGCTCCGATGGCCGCCTATGGAGTTAGTCGCCTCTCTTTCCAGTTCCCTGAATGGCGCTACAGACATCCAGGAGTTCCCTGACCTCAAAGGCACCACCAGCCTGGAGATCCTGTGAGTGGCCTTCCCGCCCTCCATCTCCCCTGTGCCCTCCTCTTCCCTGCAGCCACGCTGTCGTCCCCCCATCGCCACACCAAAGGCTCTGGGCTCTCTGGGGGCCCTAACCTGTGCCCACCGGCCTGCTTGGTCTGCCCAGCCTGGCCCAGGGGTCACTTGGCTGGGCCCCAGGGCCCTGGGCCGCCTCCTGGTGTGGCCCTGCTGCAGGCAAGGCCAGGGGGCAGGTGGGGTAGGGCTGTGGGGGCTGGTCTTCCCCTTTTTGCTATGCTTGAATTTTTCAGGCGTGACTTCAGGGTTCCTGATCCCGAGTCAGGGGCGCACTGGGGACCCGTGGTAGGGAAGACAGGCTGTGGAAACCCACCTCACGTGCCTTTCTGAAGCTTGGTTCCCACAGACTTCCTCATATTTTCAATTTTTTTATCCCACAGAGTTGGGGAAGAGGGTATCAGAGCACAGTAGGCCCTCAGGACATTTTAGGAGAATCAATAGAACAATCAGCAAACACCTGGAGTGAGCGTTAGGCAGCCAACTGTCCAGCCCGCCCTTGCCGGCAGCACAGTCCTGCCCGGCTGGAGCGGGGACTCCCCTCTGTGCCTCTATCGTCTTCCCCTACATTGCTTCCCCTAAATTTTCCATGATGGAAGTAATAGGTCCCCCCAAATGACCTTGGCCTTGTGTCCTTCCTGGGACACCCTGTCCCGAAGCCATACCTGCTCTCCCAGTGCCTGGTCCTGACCTCCTGCCCCACCCCTCCCGCAGCTTTGCTAGGCTTTTGTCTTTCTTCCGTTCCACTCCCTGCCCATGGTTATACCTCCTCTCTAAGGAGACTGAGGAAGATTCTAGGGCCTGTCACCCAGACGCATGCTGCTGGACACCGTTATGAAACAATGGGTGGGGAAGAGCTGGGCCCGCGGGGACTGTCTGCCAGGCAGAGCCCCTGGGCTGCATCCCTTTGTCCATGCCCCACCCCGGCCTTCTCCGGTCCCAGGGGAGCTTGGTGCTCCGGTGCCAGGGCTATTCCTCCCTCTGCCCACAGGCTCAGCCCCCCTGTACCTCCCACTTCACTTCTGTCAGTGCTTCCATGTCAGTAGCAGACCTAGAACTGGAGATGGGTGGCTGGGGATGGCAGGGCCCTGGGCCTGGTGCCAGCTCTGTCTCTGTTCTCCCTGCAGGACCCTGACCCGCGCAGGCATCCGGCTGCTCCCACCAGGGATGTGCCAACAGCTGCCCAGGCTCCGAGTCCTGTGAGTGGCTCACAAGCTTCTCCGGCCTTGGCTGTGTGCCCTCACTCCCAGGGACTGGCAAACGCCCCTCCTGTTTCTGTCCCACTTGGTCCCCTCTCTTCCTAGACAGTGGGACAACTTGGGCTGCTCCTGAGGACCTGCCTGGGTGGGCCTGTTGTTCAGGGCACAAGACAAGAGTCTCTGGAGTCAGACCTGGGTTTGCAGCCCAGCTCTGCCACTGAGGGGCTGTATGAATTTGCACTCACTATTTAAAATGTCTCAGAGCCTCAATTTCCTCATCTGCAAACTGTGGATAAATTTGTTCAGGGGTTGGAAAACTATCTGCAAAGCATATACTGGGTGTGCAATGAGTGGCAGAATTACTCTAGTTTACATGATAAAATCAGCCCCTTGTGGAAGCAGGGAGGTGTGTAGGTGCACTGTGAAGCCAAGAGGTTGCCCCCTACGACTCCAGGGGGCCTGAGGCTCCTCACCACAGACAAGCACAAAGCTCAAGGTGGGGGGATGGGGACATGGGGCTGCAGCAGTGCTGGGCTGCATGGCTGGGGATGGGGGCTTCAGACCCACCTTTGCTGCTGACTGGCAGTGTGTCCTGCCCTCTCTGAGCCTCAGTTTCCTCATCTGCAAAATGGAGGGGCTGAGCCAGGTGATCCCAAGGGCCCAGCTCCCATCCTCCCTGTCCACCCCACATGCGGCGACTGTAGGCGTTGTGACGTGGGCTGGCAGCGACCAGCTTGCTCAGAAAAGCCTGTCTGTTTTCTATGGGCTGTCTCGGTGCCCTGAATCCCACTCTCTGCCCCTCCCCTTGCCTCCGAGTCCTGTCAGGTGTCCTTCCCCCCAGACCCTGAGGCGTCCCTCAGGCCTTCATATGCATGAGGCCACCCAGTGGGAAAATGCCAGGCGCACCCCCTCTGGGGCCTGCAGTGAGGGGTGGGCCTTCGCAGGGAAAAACGCACAGAAGTCTAACTGGAGAGACGGGGCCTGGGTGTGAGGTGTGTCGATAGCCACGTCCCTACCGGGCCCTCCTAGTCCTCAGCTGCTGAGCAGGAAGGCAGGGCTCTAGCTGGAGCTGCTTCTCCTGGCCCCCAGCGTCACCCTGGCCCGGGTCTTTCTCTCTTCCCCAGAGAATTGTCTCACAATCAAATCGAGGAGCTGCCCAGCCTGCACAGATGTCAGAGGCTGGAGGAAATGTGAGTCTGGGGTAGGAGCAGGGCGAGGGCATGCGAGCGAGCTCACTCCAGCAGGTCTGAGGGCAGCTCTCAGTGCATTCCTGTGAGCTCACTGACTCCAGAGGTTAGGGCTGGAAGCTTGGCAGAGGCCTGCCAGAGGCCCCTGGGACTCACAAAAATGGACTCAGGAGCTGGCACCCCAAAGGAGTCTCAGTGTCTTCTTGGGGGTCAAGGGCAACACGGGAGCGGTGGTGACGAGGGCCAGCGGAGGCCCAGGGCTGCTGGGCTGGGCAAGAGAGGCATCAGAGGACTGGAAGCCCCCTGCATTTCAGAGCACACTCTCTCATTTTCCACATCCCATAAACACACACACACACACATCTATGTACGGGCTCCACACTCACACACAGAGGAAACCTGGAATCCAGGACTGGCAAGGAAGAAAAAAAACACTTAAAAAGCTCTCTAGACTCTGTTTACCCAATTCAGCAGGGCCCCCTGAGCCTCCGGGGCCTGATCCTGGGCAAGGCAACACCTTGTGGGGCCAGGGCAGGGCGGGGTGTGGGGGTCTGTTCTGTTTGTCGAGATGCCAAAGGAAAGAGGGTCTTCAACCTTGCTGAGGCCCAGGGTCCGTCTCCTGTTCTAACAACCGGTCTGCTGCGCTCTGCTTCCTGGCGTGGGCCGGTTCCTTGGACCGTCAAGGGCTGGGCAGTGCTCTGCTGCTGGACGAGGGTCTGGAGCGCCCACGGGGCAAGGTCGCCGGGCTGGAAGCCAGGCCCGTTGGGAACTGGGGACTGACTCCCTTCTGGGCCACAGGGGTAGTTTTGTGGCTTTGTCTCCTGACCCACTTACCCAAGGCAACCGGATCCCCTTGTGTTCCCTTTAATTCTGGTGCCTTCCGCAGGCCAGACCCTTTCTTCTCAGGCCAGAAGAAGTGGGGGGCTCCTCTTTCCTCTGCCCAGTGTGTGGGCAGTGGGGAGCGAAGCTGGGGTCTGTGCCTCTTGGCTCATCCGGCCTCTCTTGCTGCCCCAGTGGCCTCCAGGACAACCGCATCTGGGAAATCGGAGCTGACACCTTCAGCCAGCTGACCTCCCTGCGGGCCCTGTGAGTACCCCACGGCCCTCGGGACCCACCCCCTCCCAGACATGCTCACACGCCTGGCACGCGTGTTGGTGACATGCACATAGCCCCCCTACTCCAAGGCCCCACCCCCAGCACACACACAGAAGAGGTGCCTCCCCATGTAGATGGCTTCTCATGCCACTTCTCCAGCTGGCACCTAGGGCCACGAGGCTCTGAGGCCAAGCTGCAACATCCCTTTCTCTTGGGCAACAACCAGCTCGGGAGCCAGGCAGCAGGTGCCTTCTCAAAAGCCCGAGGGCACTGCTCCTGGGGGCAGCCCAGACGGGGGTAGGTGAAGGCGGACCCAGGCTGAGAACACTGAGTCCTCCATGGGTCACCGTCCCTCCTGTCCCACGCTCTGCCCACAGGGACCTGAGCTGGAATGCCATCCGCTCCATCCACCCCGAGGCCTTCGCGACCCTGCGCTCCCTGGTCAAGCTGTAAGTGCCGCACTGCTCTCTCGTCCTGGATGCCAAGGCCAGTCAGGACTGTGGGCTGGCCTGTGGGAGGCAGGAGGGCCTACCCCAGAGTGGGGACAAGCAAAAATGTTTGACCACATATCCCAGGGAGGGGACTCCAGCCTAATCAATCATTCTGACAGTCCGTTTGACAGACTGTGGGGCCTGATAAACAGAAAACCTGCCTCCTGCAAGTTCTGGAACATTGTCTGCTAATGTTCTGGAACATTTTGGCAGCCTCAGCCCACCCTGTGCCCCGCTGCTCCTGCCACCCCTACAACTTCTCTGTGCACCCACAAAGGGGATGTATGGGACTGGAATGCCTTCACCACACGGGCGGGGGTAGCAGATGGAAGAGCCTGGGTCTTGGAGACCTCTGCCGTCCCCTGCGTGACAGTTACGATAGGGGGCTGTTGTTCTGCAGGGCGGCAGGGAACCACAGGGAACCACTACGAGGGATGTAAATAGGAGCATATAGTGCTGTCCACGAGCTCCTTATGTCAGAGCTGGAAGGGGCCTCTGATGACTGCCACACACTGTGGTGCAGGTTGCTCACTGCACAACAGTCCCACCCAAGGGGGCAGTTGGCTGCCTGCCTAAAGGCACGTCCACCCAGACAGGGCCCTTTCTGATTAGCCCCAAGACCCCTTAAAGGCTATCACCAGCCCTGGACTCAGGAAGCATCGAGCCCCACCCCTTACTTCAAAGGTGAGGCCTCCCAGGCCGGAGGGGAGGAGGGGGCACAGGGCCTCTCTGGGCCCTGGGCGGTAATCTTGGCAAAACTCTCACCTCCGTCTTCCCTCGCCTGTTTACCCCTCTCCTGCCAGATAGGTAGGGTGGATATTTTTACCCCTTCACAAGATGAGGACCTGGAAACTCAGGCAGACCGGTGACGACTCCTGGTTACACAGGGAGCTGGTGGCAGTGCCAGGCTTCCTGGCTCCCAGACCAGGCTGTTTCCACAACACACAGGCTGTTGTTGGGGTGTTTGGTTTGGAGACCTGGCTTCCTGCAGTGTGTCTCCAGCGGAAGACCATGCATGCATGGCCTCACCTCTGGCTACAAAGCCAGCCTGCAAAACAGAATGGAGGACCGAATCCTTTCCTGTAGCCAGACCAAGCCCCTGACTCTGGCCTCTGTGTCATCGGAAAAGCAGGGGGATGGGGGCAAGCAACAAGAGGCAGATGCCCTGGTGGGTGGACTAGGACCCCTGGGTGGGACTCAGTTCTGGGCACAGTAGCTGTGGCTGAGAGACTCTTACCTGAGAATTGGGATGGCTTGGCATTACCTTAGAACAGTTCCTGATGGGTAGCTGGCGCCCCGTATTTGATGAATGGATGAATGAATGAATGAGGATGGATGGTGCCTCTAGCGACCCTTGACCATCTGCCTCCCCCAGCATTTAATGCTCTCTTTTTCCCATGCTGATCTCTGTCCTTTGCTCCTCCCCTCTTGCTTCCACCCCAGGCGCGCGGGCCACACCCTGAGCACAGCCCTGCCCCCCAGCCGTCCCACTGGCCACCAATAACCCTGACCATCCACTGTCCTAGGGACCTGACAGACAACCAGCTCACCACCCTGCCCCTGGCTGGCCTCGGGGGCCTGGTGCACCTGAAGCTCAGAGGGAACCTGGCTCTATCCCAGGCCTTCTCCACGGACAGTTTCCCCAGACTGAGGTGAGGGCCTGGCTTTCCCCCACACCTAGACAGGATTGCCCCAGGGCGGCTGGAGAAGCTGCGGAGGCCCAGGGAGACAGCCGCCTGAGCTCGCCCCAAGAAGCAGCCGGGGGCACGGCAGCTTAGGGTTTGGCTGAGCTGAAGTGGGAGGGCTTGTGCCCCCCCTTCTTCCGCATGTTCTTTGTAGCGTTTCCCTCTGTGCCAGGTGCCAGTCCAAGCGTACACCGAGGCAGACAGAAGGGAGAGGATGTGAAGGCCCTGTGGGCCCCCTCGCTCCTTGCCCTGCTCTTTACACCAGGCTGCCTACCCTCACTGGGGCAGCATCGGGGCCCCTGGTATCAGAGCAGAGCCCAGGGCACCGAGGCGTGGAAAACAAGCTGCCTGCCCAGCCAGTCCCTGGTGCTAATGACACCCAGGCCTCCTGCAGGCTACAGCAGGGCAGCCTGTGTGGCCCATGCCTTGGCTGCTGCAAACTAGTGAGATGCCTGGAGGCACTGCTGTCACCCTCAGAGGGCACCAAATGCAGCTCTGATGTGCCCAGGGGTGGGGTCAGGACAGGCTGTGGTCTTGCTGAGTGCCAGGGTCGAGTTGCTAGGAGAATATAAATATATAAGAAGAGCTCTGCACAGGAGGGGAGAAGAGCGCCTGAGTGCTGTGTGACCTTGAGTGGGCTGCTCCCCACTCTGAGCCTGCTGAGGAACTTGTGGACAGTGGGCAGAAGGTTTATCTGTCCGTCCCAGTTCTCAGGATGACCGTAGAAGAGACTGGAATATGCTCAGAATCCTTCAGAGGCGGGAGCCAGGCCACCAGACCCTCACAGAGAAAGCCCAGGAGGCTGCCTGTGCAGCAGTCAGGGCCCTTTGGGTGGGAAGCAGGTGCTGAGGGCGGGGGCGGGGCCCTGCCCATCCCTAAGTGGCACATCTCCTGCCCGCCCTCCCACAGGATCCTGGAGGTGCCCTATGCCTACCAGTGCTGTGCCTATGGCATCTGTGCCGGCTTCTTCAAGGCCTCTGGGCAGTGGGAGGCTGAGGACTTCCACCTTGAGGAGGAGGAGGCTCCAAAGAGGCCCCTGGGCCTGCTGGCTGGGCACGTGGAGAACCACTGTGAGTGGTGGGGCCCTGGGCGGGGTAGGGGGGAGCTGCAGCCGGGAAGTAGGAGAGGAGAGCTGGCTGGGGCCCCAGGGAGGGGTTGCTGGAGACCTGGGGGGAAGCTACTCTGCGCTCTGCCTCTCTGAGGCCACACCCCAGGGTTGCTTGGAGAGCAGATAATGGCGGGGACAGCGGCAGCAGTAATGTCTGGGTGTCTGCCCTGGCTGTTCTCAAGGGGCCCCCATGCTGGTCTCCCGCGGGACCCTGCCTCGTGGCTCACATGCTTCTCTGTGGCTGCCTCATCACCGCGTGGGCCCTGCAGCCTTAGGGCATTCTTGGGGAAGCCGTCCATTGTTCAATCAGCCTGAGCCCAGTAGGAGTGAATTAAATCAATTAAATGAACTCTGCTTCTAGGAAAAATGTCGCCTCACAATAGGTCCTCGAGAAGAGGGGCTGTAGCGACAACTGTCGTCTGAGCCATCCTGTCCCTCGAGGCGCCCCCCCCACCTATGAGTCTCCCAGGGAGGCCAAAGCCCTCTGGGCGCATCACAACATGAGCTGTGTGGGGCCAGCATGGCCTCTGCTTCTGGAAAAGTTGGGATGAAAGGAAATCAGGTTGGAGGCAGGCAGCCAAAGGTGTCCTGAGGGATTGTCTACTAACTGGTGTCAGGACAGAGAGAAGGCTTCCACCCAGACCGCCACCCCATGACACAGAACACACAGAATTAAGAGGGAGAGAAAAGGGCCTCTGATTTTTTTATTTTGTTTCAATATCCAACTCCTTCTCCACAATATATCCATGGAGAAGCTAAACAGAAAAATCAAATCTAAACATGTAAGCAAACTATCTTATGGCGGTGTAGACAGACCTGGGGTTCTAAACCCAACTACACAGCTCCCCAGCCGGGTTACCTTGAGCAGCTATTTAACCTTACTGAGCCTGCGTTTCCCCGTCTGTAAAATGAGCTCTTTATTACACGTGCTATAGGCTGTTGTGGAGGACCGCGAGGGCCCACAGATGGGGAGCTCCATCCCACCACCGCTTTGCTAGTGAGAACTGGCGCCTTCTGCTGTCCACACACAGGCAGGGTGTAGTCTGGGCCCTTACCAAAGACCCTACCTGGGGAGGGTGGAGGAGCCCAGCAGGGAGGCTGGCTCAGGGCCGGCAGACGGCTGTCCCTGGAGGACATTCCGGATGTCTGCTGCCCACTCCCTCAGGGGCTGGGAGGAGGGATGGAAACTTTCCTTCCTCAAGGTGAAACTTTCCACCAGGCTTAGGTCTTGGAGAACCACAGGGCGCTGGGATTGTGGGCTGCCTGCCGTGGGTAACAGGAGCTAGGGCAGGGCCCCCCACTTCCTGGGGGAGCTAATGAGCCCCGAGGAGGAGTGCCAGGAGCTGCCGCAGCAGCCAGATTCGATTTCCGCCTCGTTTGAAGAGTGGTTACTTAACACCTTGGCTGCGACTTTCCCAGCCTCAGACAGAGTCCACAGGTTACACCCCTTGTGTTTCATTCATGCATTTGGATTTCAAAGAATTGCTGTGCTCCATTCTGGAGAGCAGGGGTGGGCAGGGAATGAAAGGTAGAGAAGGAAGGAAATGCCAGGACTCTGTGGGCACACCTTGGCCTCCTGCCCGCCCTGGTGGAGTCAGGGCCAGGGGGAGTGCTGCAGAGCCTTCCTGCCTTGTGGGAAAGCTCCCAACTGAAGGCGTTTACCCTTTAAGTGGGGAGGGAGGATCTGCACAGGAAACACACCATGTGAGCCAGAAATGGAGACAGGTGCGGCAGAGTCACGGACCCATTACTTGTACGATGGAGGAAGCGCCCACAGGGCACTAAACCTGAAACCTGTACAGGTGCCCATTTTAAGAGAAGCAATTCTCATACATCACTTGGAACCTCAGGCACCTTTCCCAGTCTGCCTTGAGAAACTGAAGTCTTATTCTTAAAAAAAAGTCTTTCGATGATGAATTGTTGCTGCAAAGGAGAGTTTTGTTTTTATAAGTTATGTTTTAGATTATCCTTTCAGAATTCTTACGGGATTTATGGTGCCCTCAGACATCCATACCCCACCTGCGGAGTTTGCAGGTCATAGTTTAAGAAATATTGCCATAGTGAATAACAAAATAAAAATTCCATTTGATTCAAACAAGTTAGAGGACTTCTTTAACAGTGGATTTATCTTTCTAATCCTATTTTCTCAAACTGCAGAATTGCAGAGCCTAGACTTAGACTGTTAAAGATGATGCAGTCCTCCTTCTAATGCAGCACAGAAGTGCCCTTTCTCTGATTAGGGACTTCGTGCCTCAGTATCTGTGGTGAGGATGTACCCAGCTCATGCATGGGCAAAGCTCCCCCCACCATTCCCCTAACCCCCAAAATAGTCCCCACCTGGGAAAGCATAGGAGCTAAACATTCAGGCTCTGTGGGCACAGCTGGGTCTGACGTCCTCCCTGGTGCTGACTGGGAGACGTGCAACAGGCAGCTTCGCTTCGTGAGACTCAGTTTCCTCAACTGTCAAATGACATCAAGGGACACCTGCCTCAGGAACAGTTGTGAAGGTTAATAAGGCCATGAAGGTAGGGGTACACCAAGTGGGAGCTCAAGGCCTCTTAGCCCTTTTTGTTAAGTAAACCTACTAGTTGATTCAGCTCACTGTGTCGAGATGGCTAGACCCTCATTTGCTCCATGGGCACTGGGAGGGCAGAGTCAAGTCTTACTCATCCCTGAGTCCCTCCAGCAAATGCAGGCACTGTGTTCAGCACACGTGTTCCTCCAACCCATCTCTTCAAATTGAGGGAACTTGTGTCAGTAAGAACCCAAACTTCTCCATTTGAATCACAATTTGCCTCCTTCTACACCCCATCTGCTGATACCAGTTCTGCCCCCTGGGACCAGCATGAAGGAGTGTAATTCCTTTAGGCCTAACGGGCCTCTGGCTCTTTGAGGACAGACATTTATCCACTTACTCTTACCTTTCCCAGATAAATGCCCCCAGTTGCTTTGACTGTTTCTGGCACAAATGGCTTCAACTCACTCACCACCCCTGGTTCACCTCCTGTGAATACAGCTCATTACTCTGTCTTCAGAACATGTCCTTCTTAATTCATGACATTCACAAGTGGACAGGAAATCACAGTGGAGGGCTGGCCAGTGTGGGAAGCCTTGTGATTGCTCGCTCCACCCCAGGTCCTAACAGCTCCCGTGACTAAGGCTGCCGGGAAGAGCAGGCAGGAACGCGCTCTCCCAGGAGGAATGAGTCTCAGGTGAAACGTTTGTCACGAAGAATCAGCAATGCAGATAATCCACATGTGGACAATAGAGAGCTGACCAAGTGTTCACACTTAAGGGTAGAAACACGTGCAGGGCGGCTGCCTGAGTCAGGGGGGACTTCTTACAGGGGTGGCTACTGGGAGAGAGGTGAGGCGTGGCTGCCACCAAGACCAGGGCCCCAAGCTACTTTCCTGTCCTCCCTCTCAGATGACCTGGACCTGGACGAGCTCCAGCTAGGGATGGAGGA